GGCATTAGAGAGAAAAGGAACTTTTTTCTTTTTTATCTCCTGATCCACTCCCAAATGCCCAGGGCTTGGACTATCCAATAGAAGGCCCCTGGAATTCCACCTGGGTCTTTTACAGGTATGTAGCAGGCCTTCAGGTATTTGGCCCATCTTCTGCTGCATTTTCAAATATTTCAGCAAGCAGCTAGATTAAAAGCAGAGCTTCTAGGGCTCAAACAGGCACTCTTTTATCAGATGCTGACACTGCAGTTGGAAACTGTGTCACAATGACAGCTCCCTACTTTCTGTTTTCTAGCCATTTTTTCTTGGGGTTGAAAGTTGATTTAGTGCATGATCTGCATCTCATGTTATCATAAGCAAAAACCTTAATCTAATGTTACCAGTTTTAGCCTCATAGAGTTAATCAACATTGAAATATGGACCTCTAACCCTCATACCATGTAGTGCACATTCCAATTTGTGGGTTATGGAGACATGTACAAGAGTTCTTACAAGTTAGGAATCCTATAATAGTCTGGCTTTTCATTTAAATTATTTTATGTTAGTGTATAAATTTTATGTATTATACATAAATTTAGGAACATAAGGATACTCTGGATATGAATTCTTCATCAGTTGCAAGATGCAAGTATTTTCTCCCTTCCTGCTGGCTGCCTCTTCACTTTTTTTGAGTGTTTTCTTTGTAGTGCAGAAGTTGATGTAATGTCATTTGTCTGTTTGTTTCAATTGCATGTGCTTCTCGGTATGTTTTCCAAGAAACATTTCTTGGGCCTGGAACGATGGCTCAGTGGTTAAATCCTTGCAGGAGTGGGATCCCATATGAGCACTGGTTTCGTGTCCCAGCTGCTTCACTTGCCATCCACCTCCCTGCTTCTGGCCTACGAAAGCAGCAGAGGATGGCCTTGGGACCCTGCACCCATGTGGGAGACCCAGAAGAAGCTTCTGGCTCCTGGATTCTGGCTTTGGATCAGCTCAGCTGTGGTTGTTGCGGCCATTTGGAGAATGAACCAGCAGATGGAAGATCTTTCTGTAAAAGCCAGGAAGCCCTTGTCTATGACGATGTCTTATGGTTTTCCTAACATTTTTCTCTCTTAATTTAATGGTGTCAGGTAGATCTCAGCCCTTGTTCCATTCTGTGTTGATTTTTGTATAAACCATAAGGTAGGGGTCTTGCTTCATACTTCTGCATACAGATATTAAATAATCCCAGAATCATTTGTTGAAGAGATTGTCCTTTCTCCAGGGACTGAATTTAGCTTATTTGTCAAAGGTTTATTGATTGGGCCTAGCACTATAGCTTAGTGGCTAAAGTCCTCACCTTGCACGCTCCAGGATCCCATATGGGCGCTGAATCATATCCCAGTTGCTCCACTTCCCTTATAGCTCTCTGCTTGTGGTGTGGGAAAGCAGTGGAGGATGGTTCAAAACCTTGGGACCCTGTACCCAGGTAGGGGACCTGGAGGAGGCTCCTGGCTCCTAGCTTCTAATCAGTTTAGTTCCAGCTATTGCAGCCACTTGAGGAGTGAACCAGCAGATGGAAGATCTTTTTCTTTCTCTCTCCTCTCTGTAAATCTGACTTCCCAATAAAAATAAATAAATCTTAAAAAGATATTGAGTGGTTATGGGTTCATAAATTGATTTCTGGGATTTCTATTCTGTTCAATTAGCCTACATATTTATATTTTTGTTTCAATATCATGCTGTTTTGAGTAGTGCTGCCATTTAGTGTGTCCTGAAGATTAAGAGAGCAGAGTTGATGAAACCATCTGTGCATGAATCTTTTTCATTGTCTTATGGAGTGATCTTCAGACGTCAGTTTTCTATTTCTGTTGAGGTCAGTTTTGGTAAATTATCTCCTTAGAAAATAATCTATCATTTTTGATTCCCAGTTTACTCACGTAGAGTTGACTCGAATAATGTTCTCCGAAGGGGTGATATGCAAAATGTTACACTCTGTTGTAACGGGTGTTGGTGAGTCATAGCAGATGGCATAAGCAACCATGATGAGTACAGACCACCAACAACCAGTGTAATACTCGTGACCAAAAGATTAATCTTACTTTTATGAATCGAAGTTCCTACTGTGTGTGCCTTTAATCTCTACATTATTTTCCCATTTCTTTCTTTCTTTAATACTGCTCTGCTTTTTTGCCCCTGTTTTTATTTCCCAGTTGTATTTCATCATTCTCTAGATTTCAGTTGATCCTCTGCTTTTCTTACATTCTCATTTGTAATAATAAACATTTAGATTGTTTAAATTTCCCCTTAGTGCTCTTTCGAATATGTGATTAGTAGGCTAGACATGTGAAGTTTTTTGATCTTTTCCTGTTACTTCTTATTGTCCCAATGATTGCTCAGGCGTGTGTGTGCATGCTTTCAGTTACCAACTGTTACTTGCTTTGTATTAGTTCTAGCAATGCTTCCTACACTTATATTTTTGGGATTCTCCGATTTTTCTCTTCAAGGTTCATTAATGAATACAGGACATGAATGTGGGCATTAAGCATAACATTCTCTTTTTGAGAGTATAATTTAAAATAAATCAGTTGTACTTTGTTTTTTTCTCTTTATATTCCAAGAAACTTATTAATACATCTTTCTTCCTTTCTTTCCTTCCTTGTGAGATAAAATATTTTTAGTCTACATTATAATCAAAGGGTTAATGCTCCACTAAAGAAAGGGGTCGGCAAAATAAAAGTAAAACAATAGACTTTAGCAAGCACATAGACAAGGGGTAGAAACAATAATTAAAAAAAAAAAAGGTAGAAACAATAATTTTTTAAAAGGTGTGAATTTTACTCATATACAGTAAATTTTCAAATAATCACAGATAAATTATAATAGTATATTTGCATATTATTTACCACCAGAAATAAAACATTATATTTTGGCTTTATTGACTTAATATAATGATTGTTTTTTATTTTATTGCAAATGTAACAGTTTAATTCTCTGATGGCTGAATAATATTCCATTATATATGCATTATATATATATAGTGGGAAGTTTTATATATATAATGGAAGATATATATATATATATAACTTTCTTTATCCATTCATCAGTTGATGAAGTTGGTAGAAATTTAGGTTGATTCCATTTTTTTCTTTATTATTTCTGCATAAAAAATCATTTTATATAAGGTGAACATATTTTATGTGTTAAATATATACAGATTTAGGAACATAGTGATACTTCTCACTTTACCCTCCTTCCTACCCATTCTCTTAACTTTCCCACTCATTCTTTTCTTTATTTTAATTTCAACCGTGACTCATTTTGTTTCTTTTACACTCAGAAAGTTAACACTTCACCAAGTAGAGAATTCAACACAGAGCAAGGGAAAAACCACCGTTACTTAAGAGTATAAACAAGGAATATAAACAGTAATCAAATTTCAAAATGTCAAGCTAGCTCATATGCATTACATTTTTTTTTTACTCTGTAACCACAACAAGGAAACATGATATTTATCTTTTTTGAGCTGGCTTATTTTACTAAGCATAATGGTTTCCAGTTGCGCCCATTTTTCCAAACACAGGATTTTGTTCTTTTTATGGCTGAGTAATATTTCATAGTGTATATATACCACATTTTCTTTTTTCAGTCATCAGTTGATGGATATCTGGGTCAATTCCACATCTAAACTATTGTGAATTGCGCTTCACCATACATGAGGATATGAGAACTCTTTCCTGTGCTGATTCCATTTCCTTTAGGTAAATCCCCAGGAGTGGGGTCACTAGGTCATGTGGCAAAGCTATTTTCAGATCTTTGAGGAATCACTATTCTACCTCCTTTAACTAGCACAACTGAAGCCAGGAGCCAGGAGCTTCTTCCAGGTCGCCAGTGTACATGTGAGGGGCGCAAGCTCTTGGATATTAATCAGCCAGGAATAGAACCAGGGCCCATATAGGATGCTGGTAGCACTGATAGAAGATTAATCTAAGCCACATGTCAACCTCCATTTCTGTTACTTTTATATATTTAATTTTAAATTGAAGTTTAATATATTTTTATCTAAATTTGATAGCACTCTATGTAATGATTTTTACATTATTTTGGTGCTGTAATTCAACTAAAGAGTGTAAGTAACCAACAGGCACTACACACTAGCATTGCAAAGCATCCTACTTGTTTGTTTCTTGTCTCAAGTTCTTTTTTTGGTTACCACTTTTGTGAGCAAAGTAGATTCTTCCCGTGATAAGAGATTCCTTCAGGGGAGAGAATAGAGCAGTGTCACTGCTTGGAATCAGTTATAACTGGACTACCCAGAATTCAAGATGCCATTCCTTTATCCTTCCTTAGTATTGGGCTGCTTCTGAGAAAGGTGTATGTCTCCTTTTGGGCCCCTCTTCTTGTAGGTATTCTATGGAGCTAGAGTAGGGCCACAAAAGTTGAGTCTAAAGACCTAGATAGCCTGTTCCATTGTTCCACATTGGGGCACACACTCTGGATAATTGTGCTTGGTTTGATTTATTTGAAATCTGCCCTGCTCCCTTGTTTGACCTCCCTGCAGGCAGTTATTTGCCAGATAATGTAGTTCAAGGGTTAAAGTTATCGGTGTCTTCTAAATTTCTTGGAGAAAGTTATGCAGAACCATCTCGAATCTGGCATTTTCTAATTGTGGATATCTATTTAGAGAAACGTATTACTATTTTGCTAGGATTAGTTCTCCAAGTATTATAGTACATTTATGAAATTTCAATCTACTTTCCAACAATCTCTTCTATATGAATTTCCATTTTTCTATGCTCTCACTAATACACATCATATTGTTTGCTCCTGATATTCCAATGTAGCATGCCTCTTAAGTTACACCTTAATTCTTAGGTGACAAGTAAATGTGTTTTTTTTTTTTTGAAGAATTTTCTGTTGTTGTCTTTGATAATTTTGGAATTTTTTTCTTATAGGGTATATTGCATGTTAAGTAATTTATAAGTTTTATTTTTAATGTTTTTCCATGTAGTTTCTATTTTGAGTCATTTCTTTATTTCTTTAAGGTTATATACCCACATATAAGTTTCTTTGAGGATATAGATCTTATTTGAGCATTTATCCTGGTAAGTCTGGAAATTGTGTTGAATATAGTATAAATTAAGCTGTATTATTTTTTTCAAATTGTTAGTTATGTGTTCTATCACTGCTTCCAGACTTTATTCTTTCCTCAAAAGATTTCACTATGAACACGTTCGTCTTATGCTTATACAAAACAGTTTTGAACTTTAATGTTACTTGACTAGTTTCTTATTTTTTTTTATGTTAGTACTTCATTATTTTAACTCTCATTTTACATATCAACACAATTCCTAGCATGGCCAAATTGTTTTTTTATCCCAGTTTTCAAAATTTGTTACTTCATTTCATGGAGTATTCTTTCAGGTGAACTTTGAAGTAATTTGTTGAGTTTCCAAAAATAAATTCTCAGACCTACTGGGATTGCACTGAGTTTATTTATTTATTTGGAAAGAGTTGACTTGTTGATGATATTAAGCTTCCTTGCTGGTAACATAATGTAATTCTCCATTTAGACCAGTTTTCTTTCATGTTCTTTAATAACAATACTGTGGTTCTCGTTGCAGAGGTTGCATATCTCTAACTTATTAGGTACCACATATTATTTTGTCCATAGGAATATATAATATGTTTTCTAATTCCTTTCTGGAATATAGGACAATGGTGAATGCTATCTGTTTGGCTATTGATATTCTACTAATATTTCTTATAAATCCTGCCACCTTTTCAGATTATTCTTTGGAGTCTTATACCTATAAAAATGTGATGTGCAAATAAACTTCGTTTTTGCTCCTCTTTTCCAGTATGCATACTTTCTGATTTTTTCAAAAAATATTTGGAAACCAGAGAGAAAGAGAGAGAGAGGAGAGAGAGTGATTGAGATCTTCTATCTCCTGGGTTTTTTCTAATGTGTCTTTTTAAAGATTTGTTTCAAAATAAGGGCTACAGAGGAGAGAAAGAGATCTTCTATTTTCAGGTTTACTCCATAAATGGTTTCAACAGCCAGGGGTGGGCCAGGCTGAAGCCAGAAGTCTTAATGGGGTGTCCTATGTGAGTGGAATAGGCCAAGCACATAAGCTATCTTCTGCTGATTTTCCTAGGTAATTAGCAGGAGCTGGATTGGAAGTGGTACAGCTGGGATTTGAACTGGCTCCTATTGGGGATGGCAATGTCTCAGGTGGCAGTTTTATCTGCTATGCCACAACACTGGCCATGGCTATTGCTTGCAAGTACATTTTAGGTTATATCTTTCTAACTGATATACATTATTATAGGTACTAGTTATTGTTATTATCTTTGCTTCAAATTGTTAATCTTTTTAAAAAAAGATTTATTTTTATGCTAAAGTCAGATATATAGAGAGGAGGAGAGACAGAGAGAGAAAGGTCTTCCGTCCACTGATGAACTACCCAAGTGGCCGCAATGGTGGAGCTGAGCCAATCCAAAGCCAGGACCCCAGAGTCTCTTCTGGGTCTTCCTGTGGGCACAGGGTCCTAAGATTTTGGGCCATCCTCCACTGCTTTCCCAGGCCACAAGCAGGGAGCTGGATGGGAAGTTGGGCTGCTGGGATTATTTCCAGCGCCCATATGGGATCCTGGCACGTGCAAGGTGAGGACTGTAGCCACCAGGCTACCAAGCTGGGCCACAAAACAGTTAATCTTTAAAGTAAGAAATGAGAATCATTTATATTCACCTGCGTTTAAGTTTTTGGTATACTTCAAAGGTCTATCTGCTTTAATTTTCCTCAAGGCTGGACTCAATGCACATCTTTTATTTGCACATTTTCTCAGATATATTCAGAAACACAAAGTCAGTCTCCAGTCTTTCTCGATGTAAAAATTCTATGCAGACCATGTATTCCTTTCAGTACTTTACAGGCTTCTTTTCATTGCTATCTGGCTAATACTCTGAGAAGAAGTGAGAAATTCTTGTTCACCTGTTTGTAATAAATCTTTTTTTCCCATTGGCTCCTTTTAATGGTTTTTATTTCCGATTTTTCAGTAATTTAACTGTAACGTGCAGATAGTAGAATATCTTAGGATATTTGTAACTTATTTATATTTTTCCTTCCTATATCTTTCCTCTCCTTCTATAAACTCCGTATTTGTTAAATTGATGCTGTTCCATACAGCACTGAAGCTGTGCTCATTATTCTCAGTATCATTTTCTTATTTTCTGTACTTTTATTTGGATAGTTTCTTTTATTTTTATCTCTAAGATCAATATTATCTTTTTAAATTTAGTCTACTGTTAAGCTGACATGATGTAAATTTTTCATTTCAGATATGCTTTTTATGGGATTTCCATTCCTTCATGCAGATTATAGTCCTCCATTTACACTATGTTCTTGTTCACTCAATTAAACTGTCTTTGAGGATTTAGCCATTCAGCCACTAGGCCCAGAGTTAAATTTTTATTTTGGTTCAAAATTTGTTGAAATATGTGCATAAGAGGTTTCTTCCAAAAACTCATGGAACAACGACAAAAAAGGCATGTAATGAAAAAGCTAAACATGGATCTAAAGTATTTTAATTGCTTATTGTGGGAAGCTAAATATTACACTATTATGACAAGATCCTCATGTCTGGACATATCAATTTAAGATGACTAATAATATAACTAGATATTGAAGTGTGATATATACATGAACAGTTGAGGAACAGTCTATACCCCAAATATAGTAACAACTTAAGACTATCAAGGAGATGAGAAATCAAATTCAGAAATAGAGGTGGCTGAGGTGCGATTACCCAGAAACCAAGTAAAGAATGTTCTATCAATTGTGTTAAATAGTGCTGATGGTCAAGTATGAACTGATCTTTGGATTCACAAACATTGGAATCATAATGACCTTGACCCAGGAAATTTTGTTAGAATGTTACTGATTGAAAGCCTGATTGGAGTGAATCCAAAATAGAATTTGAAGTGGGGGATTAGAGTAGAATGTATGGACAAGTGTTTCAGAGAAATTGCTATAAAATGAAGGATTAAAAAAATCATGTACAAAGGAATGTAGTAGATACAAAAGTAAGGACTGTGACATTACTTATTCTTGAAGGATTGCAAGGAGTTTACGAGTAAACCTTTGGACCTCAGTTTTGGATGGAAAGGCAATTCTAGGGAAATACTGGTAAGTGTTGGACAGTGTCTCTCTAAAAAGACAGTCATGTCATAACTATTGCCAATTTTTGTGATTTAAGTCTTCCCATCATGATAGATTTCAAGATAAATGTGATGTCACTGAACATGCCATTGGAAACCAATACATACAACCCACTTCAGGGTTGAGCATTTCTAACTTATTGTATGATTGTTGGTCTGTTTAGATTTTCATTATACTTTTTTTTAAAAAAATTGTTAACTTGAAATCATGGTTGGCAGCTAATTGAGCAAGAGAAGGTGAAAGAGTGAATATTTTCTGTTCATCCGATGCTTTGCTTCCCAGATGGCTTCAATGGTAAGGCCAAAACGAGGAGCCCGAAGATTCTTCTACATTTCCCACATGGGTGACTGTAGCCCAAGTATTTGGGCTGTCTTCCACTACTTTACCCAAGCCATTAGCAAGGTGTCAAATCAAAAGTGGAGCAGCCGGGACTCAAACTGATACCCTGTTGCATGCTGGGATCTTAGGCGTGGGCTTAACCTCTTGTGCCACAATGCTAGGCCCCTTCTACTTATTTTTGAATTGGTTTCAATAATTTGTAATTTTTGGAACATTATTTGTTTCTTTTAAGTCATCTTAGGTTGTTATTGCTAATGGAGAAAGGGCAGTGAAGAATGTGAATTGTTTAAAAATTTGAGTTTTTGTTTACTTCCTTTGTGTGAAAATCATAATATAGTACCAAAAATATGGCTTATTTTTCTCACTCTTCCAGTGGAAGAAGACTACAGGATATGAAGAAGTATGGGTGTTAAACTGCTTTTTATTGTGGTTACACAAGATTTACAAACAAATTGAAATAGGACCTTTTACTCTAAAAAGCCTGCTTGAGTAGAAGACTAAATTAAAAACTTTGAAAATTTAATGAGCACAGTAGGACTAAATAACAATTGATGGCCACTTGCAGAGAAGGTGGTTTAATGGCTTGAACCTATGAAGACACCAAATTGCTATCTTGCAAATGTATCTATTTCTTTTTACTTGCTGTAGAAGTTCTTGTGTAATTCTACTCCAGGTAAGAATTGTGATATTGCTAAGCATGCAAAAGCAGGTATGCACAGAATATTAGAAGATCTAAACATTTAGATCTTATTATTTTTATTATTTTAAAAAGTTTACATTATATTCGTGTATGTTTCTGTAGGTCTAGGGATTCCCCTCTCCATCTCCATTTCCTTTCTTTCCATTCTCCACTCCACACACTGTTTTCTCCCAAATTATTACAATAGTATTATTCCTTCAGCAAATGTCATGAGTCCAACATTCTGCTGTTTAACTGTATCATGGCATTGTAGGTATAGGCAATGGTAGAAATTCTAGTATTCTTCTGTCAAGGCATATTTAAGTTTCATTGCAAATCTATCTTTTATGCTGGAGTAGAGATGCATACTGCAATGCATCTTCATTTGCTAGTAAAATTAGATTTAAAAAAATTCTGTTTACTCAATTGCAACGTTTCATTTCCATAGTATTTATCTTTGAAGTTGAGATTTTGTAAACAAGTTGTGTGAAATAGCAACATGTAAATAGAAATATCAGAAAGAACATAAGTAATGACAACACTTTTAAGTGTACTTTGAAAGTAGAAGTCATTTTAAAGCAATATAATTGACTTCGTCTTGTGGGGCCATTTCAATGAAATTGCCTCATTCCCATTGATCAAATTTTCAAATCTATCAGTTAAGGGTGAAATAAATCTTTTCCGCGCTATAGGGAGAAAGTTCCGATTTTCAAAAAGGCAGAACCGAGTAAACTGGTGTCAACAATATTACAGCAGGGTTAGATAAAATATGTCGTGTTTCCTCATGGCTTTCAAATGAGCCTCTGGCATTTCAAATGGAACCTGTAGTGATTATGAGGGCAATTGAATAACTGATTGTAAAATTATGTTGAGAAATTTTTGATATTTTACAATGTCAAATTTTTATGAAAATATTGCTAAAGCTCAATAAATTCACAATTCTTGTCACTTTAGAAAAAAGTAGTATTTCAGTGTATTCTTGTGTCTCAGAAATTTTATCCTATGATGATGACTAAGTTTTCATTTTGGCTACATGTGATTTTAATCCTTTGGCATTTGTCATTCAACTAAACTAGATATTCAGCTATGGACATGAAGTCATATGTCTTCAATAAGGGAACATTTTTCTTTCAAAATTTTGAGGGTGTTCCAGCCTTTGGTGTTGATATTGAGAAATCCAGTCCCACTAGAATCTCATAATCTGTATAAGGCTATTACCTTTGAGCATATTTCAGATCCTCTCTATGTGGCATCATAGATTTTCTTAAAACACGTTATATATTTCTGCTAAATATAATTCTTTTTTAATCTGCTGGAACCTCTTGACTCATTTGTTTCTCTCATGTTTGTGAGCCCCATATCTTTCAGTCTACTTCCCAGTAGATTCCTTTAAGTTTACCTTTCAACCTTTTGACATGTTTTATTTTTCTTACCACAATTCTAGTCTCTGTGATTGTTTTCTTTATTATTTTGTTGGTGATAAAACATCTCTATTTTGCATAACATATTAATTACATTTTGATGTTTTCTTCTATTTCCTGTTGGAGCTCCATTCCTCCAAGTATTTGTCCCTGCCTTATGCTTTGTATTTTTTGTCATTAATATTAGAGTCTTTCCTCAAATGTCTGTTGATCTTGGTAATGTCATTACGTTTAAGAATTAAGAGACTCTGTGTCTGTGTATAGGTTTTAAAGGGTATTCTTATATCTTTGGTTAACAGAAATAGCCATTTCTTTGGGAAAACACTTCCCTCCACCCCAATGTAATATCTTCTGCATTTTCACATCTCCTCTCTATATTTACAGGAGCATAATCCACAATATAAGCCAACATTTACACGCAGTACAAAGCAAGTAGATATGTAGGTAAACGTGTATGTACATATATTCTCAAAGATTAACTGTATAATGGAGACTAGCATACTGGGAAATGAAGATACATTGCAGCATGCGTCTCTCCTGACAAATAAAGAGGACTATCAATGAAATTGTTAAATACACCTTGACAGTAGGATACTAGACTTTCTGCCATTGCCTATACTTATAATGCCATGATACACTTAAATAGCAGTTACTTTTGCTGAATGAGTATAATATTGTAATAACACAGGGAGGAAAACAGTGGGTGGGTGAAGAATGGGGAGGAAGAAACGGGAGATGGGGGGAGTAATCCTTATTCCTATCAAAACCATGTCATAGGAAATAATAATAGTAAAGAAAAAATTGAAAAAAAGAAGTTTGGGTTCTCAACTACTATTATTCATTATATTCTTTTCATTGTTTTCACATGTTTTCCTATTAGTAACATGACCTCCTATTTCCGGTTTTTTCTTTCCCATCTCCAAATTCTGTGTCTTTCTGTAGTATTTTGTGGAGTCCTTTGCTGCATCACAGTGTGTCGCCAGTTAGAATTTATCTTGTGTTTCTCCTCTGACTATAACTGCCTTGAGGGCATCAATCACACATGTCTGCCAGTCAAAGAGTGAAGTGTGAGCTAGAGAGCCAGTTGTCTGGTAAGTTAAACAAGCAGAAAGAAACATTGAGGGAAAAAAAATCCATGGAAATGGTTAAATTTGTCATAATAAATTAGCCCCCTCAGTCATAAACTAAGGTTTATCAAGAGAGAAGGTGGGAAGTGGCATGAAAAGGAGTCTCAGGAGTATTATCTATCAGTGAGGGGAGAGATTTTACTGAATATGTGAATATTGGCATCGAGTTGTAAAGAGACTACTAAATGACATTAGATAGGAACACAGTCCTGTAAACAGAATACCAGTGGATTCTTCTAGAATCATTCCATTCTATATTGAGCTTTAAAATCCCTCCTGCTGTTTACACTCTAGTTAAGGAAGGGGTTGTGGTTTAACATGAGACCTAATGGTTTTGGCAGTGTTGAATGAAGCTCAGAAGGATGGGATGGGATTTCATGTGTTTCTGTATAACTTCTATATAACATGTTGGGTAGTGGTTAGGGAAAGGAGTTTCAATGGAATTTTCTTTAACATTCTATTGCTACCTTGGTTCATAGTGCTTGCAGCAAAAATTTGAAAAAAAAATAAAGGTTGTTAGGAATAACCTGACTGATTTCAAAATTCTGTTTATGTTAAAAGATTGTTTATGTTTTCACATGTAAGAAAGAATATCTACAATTTCATTGAAAATATCTTGGGACTAAATCATAGGAACTGATCATCGTAGGCCCAATTTACTGGAGAAGAGTGCATTTTGCCTTGACTGCGTAGCTCTCACTGTGCTTCATCAGAAACTCCTGATTTTTCTAGTCCAGTAGTTTCCTTTTGTTGTTTGGTGGAGCTTATGGAATTCTCAGAATGGTTTTTATTTTTTTTTAATAATTTTACATGAGGTTAACAGTTCATATATTTCACATTACAAATGTCGGAGCATACAGTGATATTTCCCACTCTGCTCTTCCTCCTGCCCACATCCCCCCACTCATCCTCCTCTTTGCTTATTTCTTTTAAAAAGTTTTTTTTTTATAGTGACATACTTTTAGTTCACTTCACATTCACATCTTAGCACTCCCTTAGGTAAAAAATTCAACAAATATATGATTAAAATAAAGTATGCTGAATTTAAGAAGAACACTCTACAGTTACAAAAATTCTGAATTTGTGTGTGTGCGTGTGACATAGTCTTAAAGCTTTTTTTAAAACACACACTATAAAATAGTCTGTTTAAAATACATCTCAGTGAAAATTAGTGTTAATAGAGACAGGGTTAGGGTGAATGCTATTGCTTATCCTGTATGAGAACTTCAAATTCTGGGTTAGTCTGTCTCTCATTTCTCTCATTCATTGACCAGTAATGGTAGACTGGGAATACTGGAAGTCCGCATGGAGCTGAGTACCCCGTGTAACTTCAGTGGGCACAATGTGAGGACAAGGTGGCTGGGGGGCTGTGGAGAGTGGGGTGGCATGCTAGTAGTTCATTACCTGTGTTGCATCATGAATATCTGCAAGCAGGAAAACAGGAATCACACGCAATTTTAGCAATCAGTTAGTTCCTCCTGTAATTTTGAAAAGGGAATAAATTCAAACAGTATTTTCAGATATCTGTGGCGACTATGAAAATGTTTGTGGTTTCTATTGGTGATAAAGTAATAAATGCTATAAATATTGCAATAGTTTATTGGTTATATTTGTTACTGGGGAAAATGTCAAGTTGGAGTTTAATGAGAATAAAATGTAATTTTTCTACCCATGATTATAGTACTTTCAAATTCTACCCTTGGACCGCAGATTTAGCAATGTATCCTAGATTCTTAATTTAACGAGTGTTCGACAATAATGCTGGAGCCAGTCTCAGTTCCTTGTCTACTGTAGCATGTTAGTTTAATTGGTATTGAATCTTGAGGAAGGTGTCTTTGGCAAAGAAATTAAATTCTTGATGGTGAAATCTGAAAAGAGGTAACTAGGCCAGAAGCCACGAAGTCTGCTTGTTTTCAGATCTCAAAAGTGACTTGCTGTAGAACAGTCACTCTGCTTTTCCTCAGGGTTTGAAAAAGGCTGAACCTGTTTTTGTCTCCATGTTCAAACTTTTGTTTGTCAACCACATAGAAGGATCTGAATGAGAGACACATGTTGTGATGTCTGCCCCCAGAGGTGCAGTTACCCAACAGAGTGACCCTGTTAGGCATACTCCAAGTTTATGGTTTTAATCAAAGCAAAAGGTCTGGATTTGTTTAATTTCTTTTTTTGTGTTAATGGAGATAGTATGTGGGGAAGAAAATACATTTCTGCTATGGGCTTAGATCCAGTTAGAAAGCTGTAGTGAACCCTGCTCCTGAATCCACATTGTTTTACAAATATATCAACTTAAGGTACCTGCATTTGAGCTATCTATAGTAGCAACCATCTACATGGGAAAGTAGCTTTAGTTAGGAAGTTAGAGCCAGAACTTCTTCCAAACATTATGCTTCAATGGTATTCATAGGTTTTGAGATTGTAAAATTGAATCTATTGTGTAAAAGCTGAACACATTGTACCTACTTTTGTTTTGTTTTGTTTTGTGTGTACTGCTTTCTGAGGTTCAGGGGAAAAGTGATGATTGATTTCATATGAAATTCTTAACTGAGAAATAGGACTCAAGGTTTGAGTTTGAAGGTGGTTATGTTCTGATTTTGTTACACAGTAAATCCAAAATGGATACTAGAAAACCTCCCTTAAAAGAGGAATCCATTTGTGTTTTATTTAAAGATGTATTTATTTTACTGTCAGAGTGAATGGGTGAGTAAGAGAGTTGGGGGGAGGTAGGATGGCAGAGAGAGAGAGAGAGAGAGAGAGAGAGAGAGAGAGAGGAAATTTTTCATCCATTGGTTCACTGCCTAAAAGATCTCAAATGGCAGACCTGGGTGAATCCAAAGCCAGGAATCTAGAACTGCATCTGGGTCTCCCACCTGGGTGGGGAATCAAATACTTGGGCCATCATCTTCTGCCTTCCTAGGTGCATTAGTATGCAGCTAGATGGGAAACAGAGATACCAGGATTCGAACTAGTGCTCCATTATAGAATACTAGTTTCACAAGCAGGAACTTAATGTGCTAACCCATGCATCAGAATAGGAAATCATTCCAAATGGAAACAAAAAGGTTAAAATAGTGAGATAGGTTTAGCTAGGGTGTTAGTTAGTTAGAACAATGAATAACAAATATTTAAAACAAGTTAATTCCACACAATAAGATGTATTTTATAACTGTTGATTTAAGAAGAAATGAGTTAAATGCTGGTTATTTTGGTATAAATTTTGTTTCAGTAATATTTTTTTTAGTGAGATTGGTTTTCCCCCAATTTTCAAGGACTTCATCAGCTTACAATTATGGAACTCAAAATATATGAAAGGCTCTCAATTAGGAACTTTTCAGATCTTTACAAATCAGTGAGACAGATACTACAATTGTGTCTGTTTTGCTAATGTCCAAGGTCAACACAATCAATAACTTATGTATCTGACTTTAAGCTAATGCCTTTAAAAATATCTGAAAGGCAGACTAACAGAGAAACACAAATGTAGAGAAACCATGCATCTACTGTTGCACTACCCAAATGTTTGCAACAGCCAGGAGCCAGGAGACCCATCTGGCTCTCCTGGGCCCATGTATTTGAATCATTTTCAATTGACTTCAAAGGTACATTAGCAGCAAACTGGTTTGGAAATGATTTTGAGTCAGGATTCAAACTGGCACTCCAACATAAGATGCCAATGTTGTAAGCAGGACTTAAGCTACTGATCCGTAATATTGACCCTCGACCCTTACCATCTTAATGTCTTTCTTTGTATTAGGGTTTGATTAACATTAAATATTAAACACTGTCCTGTGTGTTCTTCTGATAATGGACTTTCACAGGATAGTTAGCCCTGAGATCCTTTCATAGGCAAACGATAATACAGTAGAACAAAGCATGTGTTCCAGAAGTCTGAGTGTTTGGTCAAATATGTAGGGCATTCAGTGTGTAGACAACATGTTTTTGAGAAACATTCAAAAGTATAGCATTTCTTTTTACCATAAGAATATTATTTTTAAAATATATTTTTATTTTGAATTTTGAATTATATGGTACAATTTTGTATAGGCTGGGATTACCTCCCCCCCAACACTCACCACTGTCAGATTTTTCCCATTTTGTTACAATAGTGTAGTCTTTCATAAGGAATCATAATTTGGTCAGTCTTTGTTTTACCATAAGAATATTCTAAAGATAAAGGGCCAAGAGGAAAAATGTTCAAGGAAAGGGAGTTAATGAGAACAAGGAAGTTGACAGGGTCTTATAGAGAGGAGCTGAGAAAGGTGAATGGGGGACAGGACAACTGATGTGAGTTAGCTATCTGAGAAGATAAGGGTATGTCAATGACACACCAGCTTTACACGGGGTCATGTTCCTTGACGTAGCATGAAAATATGAAGAAGATGCTGTTCCATTCAATATGTTGTGGAAGAAGCAAAGGGAACTGCAGATCCTGAAGTACACACTGGGAGAGGGATGAAGACAGCCTGAATTGTGTGGACTGATGAGTGCATAGCAGCTGGGGCATTGGATATCTCAGCGAGAATCTATATGGAGAAGTGATTCATTGGATCCGGTCCATTCGTTGCCCTCAAATCAATATTTTGGTACTTTAGGGGAATCCTTGGAATAGGCCCACGACTCCACAGAAGAGTCCTTCCACCGACTTGAGATAATCTATGTAATCTTACTCAACTAGGTAAGGACTCTAAGGTCTATCATTAGCATCATGTGTAACTTCTAAATTTTTTCTGGTGCTTCTTCATTTAATCTTTTAAGAAATCGTGCTATTGCTAAATTTCTAAATTAACAACTTATTTTTTATAAAAATGTATTTTTAAGATTTATTTTTTTTATTGAAAATATAGATCAGATTTATGGAGAGAAGGAGAAACAGAAATATCTTTTATCTACTAGTTCACTCCCCAAATAGCCATAATGAACAGAGATGAGCCAATCAGAAGCCAGGAGCCAGGAGCTTCCTCT